ACACACACACACACACACACGCATAGGTAGAGCCGTCACAACATGTGTTTTTGCCGCCTGTTGCAGCGCTCCAGCGCTGCACAGCAAAAACGTATAACCAGAAGCCGATCGCTCTTTCCTTTTATAGAGTATCCTTCATTATTTTACTGAGATTATAATTCTCAGATGCAAGATAATTCTGTTTAGTACCTTCAACTGATTTCTCGGCCACTAGAGTGACTGATAGTAATCCTGAGTAAAATATCAAGATTACATATTGTGACTCGCTATTGACGTTAAATCATGTTGCTATTTTTCTAGGCAGCTGATCAGTAATAAATCTTTGTTTTTCATGTTTTTCCCCGTCACGCAACTGAGCATATTAAAACACAACTCTTAGTGTGTCTTTTATGCATATTTGCTTCTGCGCTTGTCTTATCCATGATTTGTCCCCAGGACTACGGAAGTTAGAAGAGTAAAATTTGAAAGTGTACAGTTTTGCCAGTTATGGATTTAGAAAAGTGAAATCAGCTCCTATGGCATTTTGCATTCTGATATACAGGCATGAAGAGCTTGGCCTTATGGCTTGGCATCATGCAAACACGGTTGCAGCGCACGGTTCGGTATATCGCTCTGTGCTCAGCGTGGCTAGGCCACATAACATTAAACAGCAAAAAAGAGCCAAAAATTAACGTCACAGATGAACTCGTGCATGTTTTGTCGGGCTCATTCATAGGAGCACGTAGCGGCTCACTGCAAAAAGCGGAAGTATGCTGGCATCCCGCAGTATGCAAGTATATATCATAAAGAGCATTAATTACAAGTATTTTCAAGAGCTCACAGAAAATTGTGGACACTGTTGAATATCCAAGAATTCACAAACTCTTAAAAAAAGCGGGATATGACTGCCTTACTTTCTGCACGTATCAAATTTATCGAAACCTTTTCACCCGAAAATGAACATACGCGTTCTGAGCATTCAGAACAGAAAACGATTCATACTAAAAACTTACCATTAGTTTTATTTGTGTTGAATTTCTGGGTCTTATAAACATGTTCATACTGCCATGAAGGCGGAATCGCGCTCGGTTTTCCACGAACACTAGCAATGGCGACTGCAAAAATGTGTACACAAAATCGACAAGTTTACATCTCAGTGGCACAAACGAACTCTACGAAATAAGGCGCACTCTCGCCCCGGCTTTTATCTTCCAAACGGTAAAGCTGCACGCTTGTATTTCAACTTCTGTGTTTTAAGCACTTGAAATGGCGCATTTTTGAAACCCTATTTGCTTCTCTGGTCTCATAAATTATAATTAAAATCCAGGCAACAATGTGCATCAGAGTGTTTGGTGTGATCATGCGTTTTTGCAGCCTGAAATTTGCCGCATCCCTAAGCAAGACGCTAGCTTGCTTAAGCTTCTATTACACTTTTAGAATACCACAGCATCAGGCATTGCTTTCATAAAATTCCAGCTTTCTTGCCAGCCTGAACACCAAGAAGGTAGAATGAGAGCAGCTCGATGTTCGTACCTGGGCCACCATGCGCTGGCAAAAGCCCAATTTATGCTGGCCTCCACATGAACAGCAAATATTCTCAAAACCAATGCTTCCTGCTCAGTCTAGTTACCGAATTAACCGAGTGCCAGCAGTATCCCAAACTAAAATTTCACTTGCGCGCACACGAAACCTGTGCATACTTTAAAGTTGGATTGAAGCACTTATGTTGTGCATGTGCGTAAAATATCCTCGTTGAATTTTTCAGTTTTACTGGTTGGCGAGATCGCTTTTCATTAAAAATATGCTTGACGTCTCTCAAAGCGCGATAGAAGCGCACGCCAAAGCTCATTTTATACCTACACGTCCGTCTATGGGAAACAGACATTCTCTTGAAGTTAAGGTGCTCTAATTAGCTTGGTTCCAGAGTTGGCATTTGCCAACGAAGCCTCGATTTCAGCTTTGAAGCATCAGTATATGCGATGTAAGCGTGCGTGATAGACGAATTTGTGATTTTTAGCTTGCACAAGAAAATAGGATATCCGATTGAAATTTCCGTTTCTTATCTTTCTCGATTCCCGAAGTCGCTTTCTAGACAAAAAATTATTTTCTCTTCGGCTTTTGTACGTGACATCCAAGTTCACGTGAACGAGACGATCAATCACAGGGTCTACATGTTCCAAAAACTGCTTCCTAGTTTTTATGCGTTTTTGCATATATTCAAATGCAACAACGCATATTAGCGAGAGACTGTCTGTCTGTTCGCAATTTTTGTCACCCACTTTCAACTCGAGAACCAGAAAAGCTAGCAAGCTGAAATTTCGGGAGTATGTGCCCACGCCATATGCGACCCTCCTGCCTTAGTATCATTACCTGCATATGCCTGGGCCCCAAACACGAACGCCTAGAAAAATAAGCAAATTTTTTGGCGGAAAAGCGATCTCGGGAACCAGAGAAGATAACGAGCTGAAACTTTGCAGGAATATTGTCTATACATCCGTGAGCTAAAGACTCCAAATTCAGCCTCTAGGTTTTCGTGGTTTACAAATAAGGCACGTGGAAGTTTTGGCGAGAAAATTGCTAACTCGGGAACCAGAAAAGCTGGAAAGCTGAAATTTAGGGAGAATATTCCCTGTCCAAATACTACTCAAATGTTTAAAATTCAGCCTCTAAGAATGCGTAGTTCTCAGGTACGGGCACTTGAAGTTTTGGGGGGAAAGTTGCTCATTGAACAGCTAGGTAATTTTCAAAGAACGACCGCAAAACGAAAATTGTTTATTTTCGACTATGCAAAATTTATGATGATTTATGGTAGTGAGTACACGAGGTAGGCGTGAAGCAACAACCATTCATGCAGTTAACCTACTTACATCAAGTTTTGTGCAAAAACGCACGAACGCATTGGCAAGCTTGGTGCGTTCCATCTTGGGTTCTGACCGTTGGGTTGAAAATGGGTGAAAAAATCCGAACACACGAACACACACACACACACGCACGCACTACCACTCGCCAGTATGCGTTTTTGCATTTACATAAATATGCAAAAACGAATATTGACGAAAGATTGTCGATGTATTTATGTATATGCACGAGTGTTTGTGTGTCATGGACTTTCAGTCAAAAAATCACTGGCGACGCGCACCAGGAGGGCCCGTGCAATCATTGCATTTTTGCAGTATTTCGTGCTGTAGTAAAGATCGCTTGGAATCCCAGTAGCTGGAATTTGTGACACACTGGTGCTCAAAATTCAGGAAGTTAATTGTGCAACTACGTGGTGCCTAAGCAGGGCACATTCCTTTAAAATTTCAGCCTTCCAGCTTTTCTGGTTCCCGGGTTAGCGTCTTCCCCGCCAAAATTTTTCATGTTGCCACACGCGAGAACTATGCCCATGTGGGTGCTGAATTTGAAAGCTTTAAGTTCCACATGAGCGAGGAACATCCCCTCAAAATTCCAGCTTTCCAGCTTTTCTGGTTTTCGAGTTAGCGGTTTTTCCGTCAGTACTTTCACGTGGTCATTCGCATGGTCCATACGCGCATGAAGGTTGATACCGCGTTCCTGGGGCGGCACTTGGAGGGGCGGGGGGGGTGAGGGAGAGGGAGAGCTCGCTGAAAAAATGTTGGCGCCGAAGCTTGGTTGGTTGCCGAGTTAAAGCACCTGGATGGACGTACACATATACACACACTCACACACAAAGACACAAACATACACACACCGAGGTCGTCACAATACGCGCTTTTGAATTTGCATATATGTAAAAACGCATAATCAGAAGAGCTGAAAAGAGCAGAAATTGCGGGAGAGTGTTTCTATCTCCTTTATAACGTCTATCTCCTTTATAACGTCTCAAGTACTTTTGAAGGGAAATCTGAAAAAGTTTTGGCGGAAAAATGACTTTAGGAATCTAATAACTTGAAATTTCACGAGGATGTTTCTTGTCCATTTCAGAAATTTTGTCGAATGCACTTACTTCACGTGCACGGAAAAGATAACACTTTTTTCTTTTTTTTGGGGAAGGGATGCAGTTAGCTTAAGGTAGAAGTTGAATTTTTATGATGTCCTTCGTCATTTGCATTCTAAAGATTTTAAATTCAGCTTTGAAATACTCCCAAATTTCGCGAGCGAATATATGAAATTTAGAGTTGGAATAATAATGGCATGTTCTCAGCTTGGGAAACGGAATGTATAGGCATTTCTATTTCATGAGGATATTTGCTATCTTTTGGTCTTTTAACTGCCACCTCAGGCGCAAATTCACATCAATGATTTGGTTTAAAAAGCACAATACTGGATTTTATTTTACACTTGCTTTTTTAATTGAACTTCAGTCTGATCGATGAATTCGAATCTAAAATCGGAATCAATAGGCTAGTCTCTATTTCCAGGACGATAATGATAATAATTAAAGTGAGAATTGTGAAATAAGAATCATCTCATAGAATGACCTGAAATCAGCTTTCGGTTTCCAGCGCAACCAGACTCATGCTCAAGACAAGCCATAAAAGCTCTCAGAAATCATGGCGAAGTTCATATAACACATCTGAACGCTTTTGCGCACTCACTAGCTGTGTGTCCGCAACAACTTATCGCACGTGTTCATTTGCACGTCGCTCCCCAATGTTTAGTGCTAATCCGTTAGAAGCTAAGTATGAACTTAGTTAAGGCAAATCTACCCTCTCATGAACACATTTATCTTCAAATACTTGAGAAACAACCTTTCTAGTCGAAAAATGAATTTCCACTTCACGATTTGGATACTGCCGCGAGAGTTCACCGAGGTATTCACCAATGCAGTACCCGCTTTCGCAAGTCGTTAACAACAGGCTTTTCAGTTGTGGACCTGATTCAGGCCCAATGATAAAGTCCATGTATTTCTGTTTATACGCATGATAAAGCAATGAGTTCACTACATAATCTGTTGCTATAAATTCCACCATATGAATACCTGGAAATTTTCGTGCTAAGTACCACATGCCCCCGTTACGGCACCAACGGACCACCTAAACATAATCCATATTTATGTGATGCCTATTTTCGAGCATAGTATCAAATACCAAAACGCTCAGTATGGGTATCACCTATAAGTGATGCTACTTGGATGGTCGAGTTCAGCTACGCCAAGCCCTTCGATCCTGAACTGCATACTTTCAGTTAGCATCCATCGCTTGTTCGATGTACGTACGTCACCTTTTCGAGGACAAGCGGAGTGAGCATTTATTTTCTCGAAGATACCAGTCACTAATGCGCGTTGCCCACAACCAGTGGGC